AATTCTAGAAAACTTTAATTTATTTTGTAAATATTTAAAATTAATTAGAAATCATTTAGGTTTTAATTCTAATTTAATTATTTTATTTTATTTCTTAAATTAACAAAAATTCCAAAAATATGTTATTTATTATTTTTTTCATTTAATTAATTTAATAATCAATTTAGTATTTTAATTTAGGATTTAATTTCTTTTCTTAATTAAAAAACAACAAAAAAGGCATTTTCTTTTAACAGGGGTCAAAACCCTAATTCGCATTCGACTTAATTTCCCGCGCGCTTTATTTATTTTTATCCATTAATGTATCTGCTTCCGGTATGTAATAGTTAATTAGGACATTTAATTATTTTTACCGCTTTAGTTTATTTTCAAAGGGTTGCTTTTGGCGATGTAAATACCCGACGCCTTATAATTTAATTTCCGCAGTTTAATTCTGCAAATTATATAACTGCTAGATGTTTGATAATATGGTTTGCATGACAAGACTAAATGCCTAATCTTAAAATCAAATCAGATCACCCTTAACATGTGCAAAGATACAAATAACTGAAAACAACACACCCGCATATGTGCACTCTTAGGGTACACCCCACTTGGTTGCCTTCGTACACGGTCATTGAGTATAGGTCGTTTTAGAGGTCGCCCTCTTGTCTAAAAGATCATAGTCGCCTCGAAATGGTTGCCTAGGATATTGTTGCCTCAAACAAATGATCTAAGACATTAGGGTTACCGCTAAGGCGTCCTAACATTGCTTTAGTGACAGTATGTCCCTCTTTCGAATTGACCCTTAAACTCCAACGACGGTGCTACCTACTCACTAATAGTGGGATAACATTGTCTAAAGGAAATTAGCATAGAATGATTCCTTTTTCGAGTAGGTAGATAGTTCTTAGATACTTGCTCTTTCAAAACAAACATTTCACTCTTACACTCCTTTTCAAACAAAGTTTTCAAAACACTTCATTACACTCTTGAGGACAAAAGCAAGAGTTAAATTGAAGTTTTAAAACAAAAACTTTTTCAAACCCACAAGCACAAAGAAAACAATTTTAGCAAGTACCTAAGAGCCCCTAGATAACTACGGGTAGAAAGGGTGCTAATACCTTCCCTTTCTGTAATCTACCCCTCGTACTCAGAAATATCTCGAAAAAGGAATTTTTCTGTGCTTTTTTCCTTTCCTTGTTGGATAAAATAAAAGTCGATGGCGACTCTTGCTTACCGCGGCATTTTGCGAAAACAAAACGTAAAACGCAAACCAGCATTCCAAAAACAGTCAGTTCTTCCCACCGTATCACAATGTGTTTGTTAAAATGTGTGCATGATTTTCCCTTGAGAAGGCAACTTGACACCTCTTGTGGCCAGAACTTCCAACTTGATTTTCTCCCAAATGATTCACTTTTGAGCTTTTCACACACAAGGGCCAACTTTTAGGATTTTTCAAGAGCTTTCTAAATGTGTATCATTTGCTTCAAACAATTTAACCAAACTCAAGTTATGATTGGCCAAAGTTGTGTATTATGAACACTTAGAAATTTCAAAAAAAAAATTCAAATAACTTCATGAACAAGCAAACCCTAATTTCTTCAATTCCCTTGATTCAATAATGAAATTAGCCATAAAATATGAAATGAGAATGTTTAAATTGAGGGTTGACCAAAAGTCCACTCGGTCAACTCCTGACTTTGTTGACTTCTGGTCAAAATAACCATTTTGCCCCTTTTGATCAATTGGACCATTTCCAACCAAATTAAACCTCAATATTTCAGTCAAAGATGATTAATAACATGTAGTGAAGCATGGAAACAAGTTTGGGTGAAAAATTCAGAGAAATCCTGATTAAATCTAAAACCCTAGTTTTGCATCTTGTGTTAGGAGATAGTTGATCAAGCTTCAAAACCCTAATTCCACTGGACATCTTGAGAGATCTCTTGAACAAAGTTGATTCAAATGATAATGAGAAGATGATGCTTAAAAAATTGGCCCATCTAAGCCTCAACTACTTCAATTGGATAAAACCCTAATTTTGACTGATGATTCAAGAAAATGTGATTCACTTTAAAATCAACACAATCTTCAATCTTCTGATGATCCAATGAGATGGATAAAATGTCTTGAGACATGAGGGACCCTTGTGACTTGAGAAATACAAAGTTTGAGAGAATGAGCCCCTTCTTGCACTAATTATTAATACCATCAACCAACACAACTTGTGGACAACTTGAGAACCAAGGTACCTTGATCCCATCACAATGTATGAATGTAATGCAACATAATATTTATGATGAAACATAAGCCTTAATCAAGAGGGTACATTTTGGGGTGCAATAGGTATAATTCACTGTGTTAGTCTCTATACGACTATGTATTATCAAGCTCTGTTTTATTCGTCCCCTGAGTTGTGATGAATAGAAAAAATTGGTGACTTAGCCTTACTATATTAGTCTAGAAGCGTTAGTAAGTCAATTTTCAAACTTGTGTTATTTACCTCCTAAGTTATGGTAAATACGCGAAAAACCCGCAATCTCTTTTAGATATTGACGAGTTATCCGTGTCTCCATATCAAAGTCAATCTAAACTCTTTGTTCAAACTTTGGTAAGATGATACATCATCGTCTATGCCTATTCTTCATACACTTGGAAATGTTGTATAGCGTATTCTTATAATATTTTGGATAAATTTTGGAGTCTTCCATTATTTAATAAACCTCTGATTCGAATATGCGAGACCTGGGTATTCTCGCACTCCTTAATCGAAAGGTGATTAAATAGGGGCAGCTGTCATACCCTAAATTTGCCCCGTCAATTTCAATGACCATTTTATCTAAATTTCAATATTACTATGTTGCTAATTTATAAATCATATTGTGAAAGTTTGCTTGTTTTTAGGTCTTGTTCTAATTGGGGGTTTAAATATTAATAAGACGGGTGTATGGCCTTAATGGACCATCAAAATCTGATGGCCCATTAAAATTTTTTGTTTCATTTATAAATAAGGGGGTTCAAAACCATTAAAAGATTGTGGGCTTTATAAATCAGACTGGCCCATTAAACTATCTCAGACCCGTTTAAAATAAACAAAAGGGGTGTGAATAAGAAAATGATGGCCCATTAAAATATCTCAGGCCCGTTTAAAATAAACAAAAGGGGTGTGAATAAGAAAGTGATGTCTGATTATGGTTTTTGTTGGGGCTTGTAAAAGGTGTGTTTCTGTTGAAGTTTATTTGGCCCATTAGAGTTTTTAAAGGCCTGACTAAAATGATAAACGAGGAGGTGTGTTTCAGAATTGGGAGCCCAATAACTAAAACAAGGATTGACCCATTTCAAATCAGTTATTACACACACCCGCTTAGATATTAAATTACATAAGTACTTATATATATATATATATATATATATATATATATATATATATATATATATATATATATATATATATATATATATATATATATATATATATATATATATATATATATATATATATATATATATATATATATATATATATATATATATATATATATATATATATATATATATATATATATATATATATATATATATATATATATATATATATATATATATATATATATATATATATATATATATATATATATATATATATATATATATATATATATATAAAATTAAGACTTTAATTTTAATTGTAATGTTACCAAACTTGATGAAAAATTATAATTTAATTCTTTAATTTTTTTGAGAGACCTTAATTGAATTCCTGCGTTTCAAATTTCAATGTTGTTGTATTTTTTGTACTTTTGCCGCGAATTTAGATTTTGATAGAAAAATCTGAATCCAACAAGTGTGCGCGTGCGCGTTATTTTATCATCCAAATAACTTTTAGATATTCAGGTTCAGGTGATAATTTCAGATGCAGATTTAAATAATGTGAAACTCGCATCCGACTCGATCCGTTGACATCCCTAATAAAATCATCTCTCATGTCTATGTAAAAAATATAAATAAAAAGTTTAATATTCAATGTGAAAATTTTTACATCATATATACACTAAATACATTAATAATCAAATATATTAAAAAAAATAAAAATTATTTATAATAATAACCAAAAAGTATATATCATTTTAAAACAATATTTTTACACAATCGATCGATTATAATTAATATATTTCACTTGTAATTATGCACTACTTTCTTGTTAGTAATTAGTAATCAAACTCTAGCGACGAAACCAATTATCACTGGGCTAATTAAATTGACATAGTCGGCCCACAGGCCATTCAAGTGGGACCCATACCATGCTCACCAGACCCACTTTTGCTTCCCATGGCCCACATAGATTCCATTACTTCTCTATTTTCAGCCACATAAAGGTAAATGCTAGAATCTTCCCACCTTTCTTAACAACTAAGTTTATATTTTAATTTTATACATTCAATCAAAATCTCAATCTTTCATTTCACATTTAATCAATTAATTTATCAATAAACCTAAGTTTATTACAAACAGAAGTTTTCTAAAACCTTGACCCCCTATAATAACGTGTTGAAGATCTATGTGTTCAAATAAAAACTAATTTTCTTTATTAAACTTCGTGTATGACCCTGAAGCACACATTATACTATCTTCTCGCCACGTGTCCAAATTCAATGCCAAATATATTTAAAAATATATAAAAATTCAAAATTTTATTAATACAGATTTATTTTTTAACAACGGCTTGGGCCCTTGGGGTTTGTGAAACGAGAGACAAACTTGCGTTTTGATGAGGGTAGGTTTACTGAGCCGTTGATATTTCAGGTTGAAAAATGAACGGCTGAGATGAGATCTATGTTATTCAAGTTTTCTATTTAGAGATAGAAATGGAAGTGAAGATTACTTTTGCTTTTACAAACACACACTTGTGAAGAGGGAGTTTCTTATTCCTTCTAGACCATTCTAGCGGAATCTTGAAATTAGGGTTTTTTTATCGATCGGCGATTGAAAACTGAGATTTAGATTTTTGAGGAGAAGTTATGGCAGATCATCAGGAGCATGAGGAAGTAAAGGGTGAATCATTTTTGGAGAAGATTTCGGGGAAGAATCATGACCATGATTCGTCTTCGTCGTCTTCGGATTCGGATAACGAGAAGGAGAAGAAGAGTTCGTCGCCGAATTCACTGAAGAATAAGGTGTATAGGCTTTTTGGCAGGGAGAAGCCGCTTCACAATGTTCTTGGTGGTGGAAAACGTATGCGATTGCTTTTTTATATTTTAATTTACTGTAATATTTGTTCTTCACATGCAGTAGTTATTGATTTTTGATTTATGCTATAATTTTATGAATTGGGGAATTTGTTGATTTGCTCTTCAGTGGTTTAGTTGGTTTTTACTGGGTCTAGGGTTTTGGGGGGTTTTTCGTCAGATCTTGTTCCTTCTGATCGTGATTGTTGTAGTTTGTTTATTGTTTTTTGATTTGAATCTGAAAATTTGATATGCAGGCAGGCCGTTTTAGGTTTAGATCTACGATCTCCTGTTCACTTTTTTGTTAGTTTGATTTTCCCCCAATTTTTCTGTAGTTGATTATGAGGGATAGAAGATCCAATTTCCTAGCCGGGATTGACACTAGATTTGTTTGTGTTCCATAAGTTTTGCAGTTTTACATTAGAGTCTTAAGTTGGGATTTTAACCTCAATGTATGATATAGGCTTCTTGTTTGCCTTGTATGTTTTGTATAACACTGAATGTTTTGTTGTACAGCTGCTGATGTTTTTCTATGGAGAAATAAGAAGATATCAGCAACAACTCTTGGTGTTGCGACGGCTTTCTGGGTTCTGTTTGAGTTACTTGAATATCATCTCCTGACTTTGGTTTCCCACTTAGCGATACTTGCTCTGGCTGTGTTGTTCTTATGGTCAAATGCATCCACTTTCATCAACAAGTAAGTTGCTTTTACTGTGTTTCAATCTGGGGTTTTGATCGATTTCCTTTTCTGTTAGTTGATTGAGTTTTTGTGTTTTGATTTTGATTAGGACTCCACCAAAGATCCCACATGTGCACATTCCTGAGGAACCTGTTTTACAGATTGCCTCTGCTATTAGAATTGAGATCAACCGGGCTTTTACTCTATTAAGGGATATTGCTTCTGGAAGGGATCTCAAAAAGTTTCTCTCGGTATATTGATTTCTCTGTCATTTATCGCATTTGCTCCATCCTATAATGGTTAACACTGCAATTGACATCTTTGTTGTTTGTTATCCTGCTGATTCCAACTGTCATAGGTTGTATTAATTGTGAGTTTTGTTATGTATTGGTTAGGTCATTGCTGGGTTATGGGTCTTGTCTATTGTTGGGAGTTGGGCCAACTTCTTGACATTGTTCTATATAGGTAAAGAGATGCCTCTTTTTTGATTCACATTTACATTCTTGAAATTTAATTTGTGTCATGTATGTATGGTGTTGGCTTCTTATAATTTTGTGAAAACAGCTTTTGTTTTGCTCCACACTGTACCTGTGCTTTATGAGAAGTACGAAGATCATGTTGACTCTTTTGGTGAGAAGGCACATGCTGAGTTGAAGAAACAGTATGCAGTGTTTGATGAGAAGGTTTTGAGCAAGATTCCCAAAGGACCTTTGAAAGACAAAAAGAAAGATTGAAGGGCTGACAAGTATGTTGTAGTCGGGTTTCACCGATGCTGTTATATTCTGATTCATCATCAGTTTAAACCCTGTGATGTTATAATTTTATTTTTTTAGGGTTTGTTAGTAGACATGACATTGTCGGAAGGAATGCTTTATATGTTTTTGTGGCGCTTACATGTAAGCCTTGGAATATCTTATATGTTTATGGTTGACTCGCTGTTGTGTTGTATGTTCTTGATGAATATAGTACTTTCTGCTCTTGAATGTTTTCATAGGAGTCGGTACTGGTACTTATGTCACTTTACACTGGCAATCTCAGTTGTTAGACAGGTTTCCCATCTAGTTCACATGATCTGCCTAGATTCAAAAATGGGCATATTGCCTTTCCCAGCCCATGTTATTTTGCTCCAACCTGGAAGAACATGGGCACATGGCATTTTTCTCCTCGGACTTCTAGTTCTCTTGCGAATGTAAGGCTTCTTTTTTTACAATCAAAAGTTGCTGCATTTTAGCATTTCTATCTCTCAAACCACTATTTAGGTATTCTGTATGTTTATTTGATCTGGCACTGTTTGCATTGGAATGGTCCGAGTGTTGATCCTTTTAAAATTGCATGTAAACAACGTTACTATTCAAAAATTGATATTGAATTGAAGCTTGATTTTGGACTTTCAATTAGGTCATTTTAAAATTGAAAGTCGTTGCATAAGTGACTTTTTAAGGCACATGTATAATGTAATATTTTTAAAATATAAGATCTTACATTTAATACTCTTCTTTTACTATTTATTTTTTAAACCTCTAAAAATACAATTTCTAAAAAAAAAAGATTTTTTATGTAAGATGATATATATTAGTAAAAAAAATGCTGCACTAAGATTTTTACCCAATAAAAATGGGAGGAATCCTTGTGTGGTAAAGTACATAAAACCTTCTTATACACAACCAATAGAAACAAGATAAATTATTATTAAAGAGAGATAAAACTTTAAATTTATTTAAATTTTAATTTATTTTTTAATTGAGTTAATGGGTGGTTAAGATTATGAAGAAAAGAGAAGATTTTAAATTTATTATTTAATTAATTAAAATTTTATGATTGGTTGTGTAAATTTATTTCTTATCGTTGTGTTATAAAAATAGTACACCTTTGGTCACATTTATAAGCAACAACAAAAATGGTTTTAGTTAATGGGTGGTTAAAGATTATGAAGAAAAGAGAAGATTTTAAATTTATTATTTAATTAATTAAAATTTTATGATTGGTTGTGTAAATTTATTTCTTATGTTTGTGTTATAAAAATAGTACACCTTTATAAGCAACAAAAATGGTTTTAGTGAAAATATTGATTAAATTTATTATAATACTTCCTTTATTAAATTTAATTGATTATTAAATTTGATTGATTATTTTTCAATGAAATAGAGTTATATTAGGAATGTAACATTAAATGATTTAGTAATAATAATAAAAAAAATTGTTTTTTATAAATGGGTTTGGAGGGGTAATTAGGTTTAAGGTTGCATATGGTTGTACTGCTATTGGCAAATCATTAAGTAAAATTTTAACATTATGGAGTATTACTGATCTGACCTGATCAGAAATGGACCGTCACGGCTGGCTCCGAGCAGAAAGCTTTTTTGAACGAGGTGGGGGGGTACCTGCAAGGCACTCCGATGCTGAAGTAAGTAGGAGTACGAGCAGATAATAGTAAGTTGAGGTTAGAATGATGAATACCTGACCCTCTGGAAACAGAGGGTATTTATAGCCCCCAGCGCTGGGCCAAGGTTCCTTCATTGGGCTGGGCGGATTTGGCCCAATGGAGGAACTGCCAGGTTCTACGTGGGTAGTGGGGACCCGCACGTGGTCCCCTTCCTGGATGTTCTGCGTGAAGTGCGGGCGGACGAAGACGCGGTCTTTCCGGAGTATCGTTGGGGGAATGGTGGACTGAGTCTGCTCTAGTTGGGATGCTCGAGACAACGTCGAGCTGGACAGCAGGGTGTCGAGCTGGACGTTAGGACGTGGAGCTGGACGGCAGGGTGTCGAGCTGGACGTCAGGACGTCGAGCTGGGCGTCAGGAGGTGGAGCTAGGCATCATCACGTGGAGTTGGACAGCGGATGTCGAGCTGGACATCAGGATGTCGGGCACGGATGTGACCCCTTTGCTCGGCGTGGTCCTTAGTAAGTCCCTTTGGACTGGGCCTTAGCAATGCTTTTGGGCCTGTCGGGCCCAGTCCAGAACAGGAGCCCCCCAAGTCGTGGTTTCTTTGCGAGGAGCCATGACTTGAACCCAAGTTATTCCCTCGTTGAGGTCTCGCGCCCGGGATAGAGCTGTGGGCCCTCGAGGGGACATGTGCTCGGAAGATGAGCGGGCGTACGAGGCTCTTTGCCGGTTTGTCGACAGTTTCCATCCCGCCCGATGGGTTACGCGGGAAGGGGATGATATCCTGGACAAAGATGGTTACCCGACGTTCGAGTCCCGTCCGATCGACACCAAGGCGCTGGTGGAGTGTCCGACTTACAGGCAGGCTGCCCGCCTGTTAGGTTGTTTGCTTGAAATTCTTTATTCGTCATTTACTCATGAAGTTTGCTCGATACTGACTTTTCCTTTATTTCGTGCAGGTACGACGGCTAGCCGACATGAAAGGCTCCTGAAATTATCCTGCGACCAGAGGCGGGGCAGGAGGGTCGTGAAGGCCCCACAGGCGACGAGGATGGGTCCCCCACCTGGTCCAAATGTTCCTCAGCTGGTGAGGGTGGACTCGCAGTCGAGCTCGGGACCCGCGTCGGATCCAGAGGTCGAGGAGATCGACCCCAGTGCCGTTTTGACGCAGAGGAAGAGGACCCGTGTGGAAGGTGGTCCGACTGTCGGCGAGGACGCCGACGCTGTTAGGTCTTTCGCCTTCCCCCCTTGTTTCGAAGAGGCGGGCTTTTTCGAGCGATTCCCCCCGACGGTGGCTTTTTCGATCAACTCTCCTTGCTAAACCCTGGCTTGGTCATTGAGGGTATCGGTCACACACACCGGATTGTAGGTGGCATGATCGTTCCTTCGCCCGACTCTCCGAACGCCGACAATGATGATTTCGTGGAAGTCTGAGTAGGATAGCGGGCCTGCGTGCCCTTGATATTTGTATTCTTTGGGTCTGCGTGTCCGTTTATTGTATGTTATGAACATCGCCGGCCTTCTTGGTCGGTTTACTATTGTTTTGTTGCCTTCGGGCATTTATATCAACGTTGTTTTACATTTTGGATTTTTGCCCTTGTTTGAAATCATATGCTTGTATGAATTTAGCCTAAGCCACGGGCCCGAGGAGTGCCCGTAAGTGGCCTTGATTTGGCGAGCGAATATGCTCGACTTCGTTTGTATGCGTTCCCGGCCTTATTTCGATTGGCCAGACCCACCTAAGTGTTGCGCTCGAGGGGAGAGATTTTCTTTTGACCCTTGTAGATGGCCCGTTATTCTTGATGGAATGTCGGGCATTTCGGAGTGAGGTTGCTCAGTCGGGCGTGGAGCCCGTTAGGGACGATTCGCCCTTGGCGTGAACTGCCCATCGCGAGCTGGGTGTTATGCCTTATGGGTACAACGACGGTGGGGCTCGGTATAGCTGTCCACGTCGGGCACTATCGATCGTCATCGTTTACCGCGCGATGCTGTGCTATTTTGGTCGTACGTCGGGCTTGTACCTTAGCCATATACGAAATTGGACGTTTTTCCTCGTTGACCGAGCGCGGGTGCTGCTGGTCGAGGGTCCCAGGTGTTGACAGTTTCTAACTGTAGTACTGCTTTAGCTTAGCAGCATTCCAGGGTCGTGGTAATGGCTCTCCGTCTAACTGCTCGAGGTAGTACGCCCCGGTACCCGTGGTGCCGTGGACGCGGTAAGGTCCTTCCCAGTTCGCGGCTAACTTCCCTTCGCGGGAATCTTTCTGGTTCCTGCGTAGTACCAGGCTGCCTATTTCGAACTCGCGCTTGATGACCTTGTCGTTGTGGCGTAGCGCCACTCGTTGTTTTAGGGTGGCTTCGCGCAGGGCAGCCCCCGATCGGATTTCCTCGACTAGGTCGAGTTCATCTCTTAATGCTTCGTCATTCATTTCTTCGTCGAGGGGTTCTTCCGTTCGTCGGGATGGTTCCATGATTTCGACCGGGATGACAGCTTCGGTGCCGTAGGTCAGTCGGAATGGTGTTTCACCCGTCGTTGAGTGGGGTGTGGTGCGGTATGCCCACAGGACGCTGTGGAGCTCCTCGACCCATCCTCTTTTGGCTTCGTCGAGTCGACGTTTGAGCCCTCGGAGGATGACTCTGTTCGCGGCTTCGGCCTGCCCGTTGGTCTGAGGGTGTTCGACCGACGTGAAGTGTTGTTTGGTCCCCAGTTTGGTGATGAAGTCTCGGAATCCGTGGTCGGTGAACTGGGTACCGTTGTCGGTCACAAGTGCCTGCGGAATTCCAAACCTGGCGAGCACGTTTCTTTTGTAGAAACGGAGGATGTTGTGTGAGGTAATTTTTGCGAGTGCCTCGTCCTCGATCCATTTTGTGAAGTAATCCACGGCGACGATTAGAAATTTGTTCTGGTAGGTTCCTTGCACGAAGGGCCCGAGGATGTCCATGCCCCACCAGGCGAACGGCCATGGGGATGACAATGTGTTCAGCTCGTGCGGGGGGGCGAGGTGCATATCCCCGTGCTTCTGGCACTTGTCACCTTTTTTCACGTGTTCCTTGGCGTCCTGTTGCATCGTCGGCCAGTAGTATCCTGCTCGAAGGGCTTTCCTTGCCAAGGATTTACCGCCCATGTGCTGGGCGTTGATCCCTTCGTGTATCTCCCGCAGTACGTCGGGGATGACGGACTCGTCGATGCATTTCAGGAGGGGAATGGAGAATCCTCTTCGGTACAGTTTCTGCTCGAGAACAACATAGGAACATGCTCGTCGCTTGATTATGGCAGCTTCGGCCTGGTTCGACGGGAGTTCTCCCTTTGTTAGGAAATTATAAACTGGGGTCATCCAGGACGTGGTGTCCCCGATGGCGTGGATCTCGACCGTAGTCGAAGGTGGTTCGATGCTCGGTCGTGCCAGAGATTCCTGGATGACGGATTTATTCCCGCCTTTCTTTCGTGTGCTCGCGAGTTTGGACAATATGTCCGCCCTCGTGTTTTGCTCGCGGGGAACATGAGAAATTTCTGCACGTACGAACTTTGCCATGTGTTTTTTGACTAAGTTCAAGTACTCAATGAGGTTGTCATTTTTGGCCTGGTAGCTTCCCTGTACTTGGGAAGCGACGAGCTGAGAGTCGGTGTAAATTTGAACTTCGCGGGCTCCTAGGTCCTCGGCTAATCTCAGTCCTGCGAGTAGGGCTTCGTATTCTGCCTGGTTATTTGACGTCGGGAAGGAGAGAACCAAGGAGTGCTCGATTACCACACCTTCTTCGTTTTCCAGGAGGATCCCTGTGCCGCTTCCGGACGAGCTGGAGGCTCCGTCGACG